TTGGAAGATTGCCTCAAGTCATTCACTTTGGGCCAGCAGTTTGGCCGACAACAACAGTTGAGTCAATTAAATTAACTTTTTTTCTCATTTTCTCTCCAATTAGCCCTGGCTGGACAACAAGCACAGTCTTTGGGAGAACCACTAAAGGTATGGAGGTGGTCCAGAGGATCTCCAACTTAAAAGTCAACCCCAAAACCGACAAACCGTATGAAGACATCAGCATCATAAACATCATCGTCAAATAGATGTGCCGTCTGAGCTGCTCGCTTCTGATTTTGTAAAATAAAGTACCCTTTTTTTCTTTTCTTTTTTTTTTATAAATACTCAAGTTTCATTAATGATTCATCATTCAGATCAGTGTTTTACAGCTTTGTTTTTAATAGCATAATATTATGAATGGTTATACAAAAAGCCATCATCAAATCAACAACAAACGTGGATGTGCACTGTGCTTCTTGAGAGGCTTCCAAAACTCACATTAACAACAAAATCTCTCACAACTTCAGATCCTCCTGCAATAGGGGACAGGGAAAGGCTTCACACATGCGTTTCACTTAAGTACAGTTAGTCAACACTACATAGCAGTGAGGATCAGTGTTTCAAACCAAGGGATGGGTCCTAAAACCGACTAATGCAGATAATCTGTCAAATAATAGTGTTTACATATAGCCACATCTGTGTTCTAGCTGAAGTACATCGATGAACCAATATTAATATAATGTAACAATGTTTGCTTTTGTTAAGATGCTAAGAAATGAGATAGCCAGATATTGATAAGTAGTGGACTAATGAACTGGGAGCGAGTTTATACATTTTTCCTTGACAACTACAATATTCGTTTAAAATATAAATAATCAGTAACATTATTATTATTTTTTTTTTTTTTACACATCCATCTCTCCATACATGATGAAAATACACCTACACCCATGCACCAGTCTTAAGACCACAATGTACATTTCAATAAATATTTACAGGCTCATTTAAAGCCAAATTCATGATGGCCATAAAAAAAAATAATGGTATGCCTTTGGGTGAATCTCACAAAAATGCATGTTGGTCACATTTTACCCCCAAAATCATTTCAATTTTGCATAACCGAAAAAAAACAAAAAAAAACTACTGCTTATTTTTCTAACATTCCAAATTTTTAGCATTGACGTTTTCATAACGATTAAGCACATTATACTCCATACAAATGTGCTGAAATTCTCATTGCCAATTATGATTTTCATTACTGTACTATTATTTTAATAATCCATGAAGGCAATACTACCATGTGTAGCATTTCACATTAATGAGAATTAGATTTTTTTTTTACATTACAGTAATGAGATTATGAGGGTAAAATGTGCTTTTACAACACAAAAACTCTCAATGCTCCTAAAACAGGTGTTACTTTCTTAATGCAAAATGTCATTCTTTTTTCTTTGATCGTAAAAGAAAGCATGACCTATTCATGTTATTTACACGTTTTGTGAAATTCACCCCATTGCTTGCATGTAACTTTTGAACAATGGCAATGGATTTGATCACATGTCCTTTCTTACTATTTCAGTAGCTAATCCCCCAATTGTAAGTCGCTTTGGATAAAAGCGTCTGCAAAATGACTAAATGTAAATGTAATCTGACACATTAACAGGCACTTCACATTGCAGAAACCATGAATCTGGTGATTAATGCCAAGTTTTGTCCAGACCTAAGGGGCTTTGCCTACGATTAAAACATTTAATAGATCTATTTAAACCTTGTGCTGTTTGCACACAACACTATAGGGATTTCATGAGGGTGTCTGTACAGAAATGACCAGTATATTTTGCACATCTACTATATATATATATATGCGCAAAATATCTCCAGGCATTAGTTAATATTACACAAATGACCAAAATGAGTGAACTGACCATGAAAAGAGGAGTATCATAAACTAGATGTTAAAGGAATAGTTCAGCCTAAAGTGAAGAAACTGCTGAAAATTTGCCATCCGGTATGTAGAGGAGTTTGTTTCTTCATCAGATTTGGAGAAATGTAGCATTACATCACTTGCTCTCCAACGGATCCTCTGCAGTGAATGGGTGCCGTCAGAATGAGAGTCCAAACAGGTGGATTTTGATGTGAGAGGACAACGGGAAAAGGAAGCATTTTTTATGGATTATGGACGCAATGGTTAAAAATGTCTTAATGTTGTTAAAAGAACACGCAGCTTTTTGTTTCACCAGTCATTAACTGATGGACCGGAGTGGCGTGGATTATTGTGATGTTTTTATCAGCTGTTTGGACTCTCATTCTGACGGCACCCATTCACTGCAGAGCATCCACTGGTGAGAAAGTGATGTAATGCTACATTTCTCTAAATCTGTTCTGATGAAGAATAGTAATGTTCATCAACTTGTTTTTAAAGCAACAGTCCAGGTTAAATATACATTTATGAACAGCATCTGTGAATGTTTTGATTACCACTCTCTGCACTCTCTGTCCAAGCAGGGACTTTGTAAAAACCAACAAAAATCATTTTTACAGTAAAGCATGTACAATGTGTACAATGG